ATATATATATATATATATCTGAGTCACTTTGCTGTACAGAAGAAATTAGCACATTGTAAATCAACTATACTTCAATAAAATTTTTTAAAATACAATAAAATGAAAATTATATTTTAATTGAGCTTCTCAAGGCATTGGCTTAGAAGGTCCCAGAGAAGAAGGCAATAATGATAACAGCTAATATTTCAGGCCACTTATATGAGACAAGAACTGTTAATTGCTTTACATGCCTTACGTTGCAGTAACCCATGAAATAGATACTTCTGTTCTCTCATTTTAAATTAAAGAAATTAAGCTTAGAGATTTTCTTTATATAACATGCACAAGATCATGCAGTTCCAAGAGGTGGTAAAAAATAAAAGATGGTTTTTTCTTTTAAAAAAAGAGTTTGTGCTTTTATTCTGTTTCAGCTATTGACAGAAGTGATGATTAAAGAATTTCTCCGTCTGTTTTACAGAGTAACCGAAAACACGGATAAGACCGCAGAAAAGCAGATACTTCTAAACCTTCAAAGATGGCAGAAATGTTTACAGCAGTGAAAGGGAGATCAAAAGCTTAGAACTATAATGTAGCCAGGACTACAACTGTGTATTTTAAAGCCATTATTCAAGGTTTCTTACTTGACAGTTCCTACATGACCCTGTTGAAAATCTACAATATATGCTGCATTTAATGAAACATGTATAGGTCAAACCAGAAGGAAAGAACTATAAACATAGATTGCGAGAAGAAAACAATTCAGCAATGGAAACAGTTTCAGCAGATCAAGCAAAGATGTGTCTTGGGCATGGAACCAAAGTTACAAAGAAACATTCTACCTCTGCTGTGCAGGGGATGTCATTTTAATGTAACACTACACCCCATGGAATCACTAGTCCTGAAATAAACATCATTTTAAAAAATCAAACAAAAAAATAAGGGTGGGTGGGGATTGAAGCACGAGGAATACCCATGAGGAGCTATTTACAATAAAATATTTCATTTGAAAAGTCTGGTTTCTTACTACAGGGATTTGCTTTTCTGTCTTTATTATTGTTTAAAACTCAGGAACTGAGACATCTGCAATTTGAGTGAGAAGAAAAGCAGTGTCTGGTTTGTTTTTCTGCAAACGGTGGAGCTTGTGGAATGCATTCCACACATGACAGATGAGAAGTGGATCACAGTGACCCCGACTAAACTGGCAACTAAAGTGAAAGACCCAGGCGAATGCAACATACGAAATAACAGCAGATGTTGATGCTTCCTTGGCCTTCTGTCACATCTGTGGTCCTCCACGAGCAACAAACTGATCTCATTCATATTGAAAATTAAGAAGATGATGCTCTAAATCACAAGCTCCCTGACTTAGTTCTGTTTAGAATGTCAACGACTATAGGGCCAGAGCCACCTTTGAATACTTCCATTTCCAAAATACTGGTCTTCAAATGGCTGCTTAAAATTGCCTGCAAATACCATGTTATGTGATTTGATACAAATAGAGGCGATAAGTAAACTTCTACCAACAGTTGAATTTACCACAGAGATGTGACTATTAAATGAAATTATGATTATTTTTAGAAGTATCCTGATATGCTTAGAGCATTCTGACCTCTTGTCATTTAGACTGATAACGTTTTTCTTTTTCCCCAGAGATCTGACAGCAACAAGGTAGCTCTACTTTTTTATATAAAAGTAACATTGTGTTACTGATAAGGTCATTTTCTACCAGAGACAATTAGAAGACTGGTACTTTCCTAGGTTATGTAATACTGAGTCTTGGATTCAGCTCTGAGAGCAAATAAATGTTCCTGAAAAACCAATTTTAGCCTCATTTACTGTAGATAACAAAACAGCCTCAATTTTTCAAATTGTCAGCGTTTTATTTACAGGGCTAGCATTCCCATGCATTAAGAATGTGTGTAGGGAACCAGAAACTCTTTCTGTGAAATGCTACACAAATGCTTCCATACATGGGTTCAGTATCTTATTCTTCAGTTTTAGCACTGGCATTTTCAAAGCCAGAACAATAACTGAAGAATGTACAAGAAAAGCTGCAATGCGGGAATCCCACTTTTTGTTCTTATATTTACTGCTGACCCAGGTATCTTTGGCCCAGTCACTTAACCTCTCTGTGCCTCAGCTTCCTCGTCTGCAAAATGAGGTTAAAATGCTTTTTCATAAAGGTTTTTTGTTTGTTTGTTTTTTCTTTTTTGTTTTTTGAGGTTTTTTTGCAATTCTGGAACAAGAGGTGCTTGAAGTAGCACAAAGTGCTTTGTAATTATAATGACTGCTATATTTGACTTTCTTGTGTTGTTGAGAAAGAGTCCCCTGTGTAATAAAATAGTGCTTCAGTTTGGTTCAATCTAAGCACGGTAGCACTGAAGCTTTCCCATCAATTACTAGCAATAAAGATGGAGCGATCCAGAACCAGGATCCCTAATCACCTATAGTAAATAGATCATTCTCATGCTATTGAACAAGTTAGAAGAATGTGTAATTTCAATGATAAGCATTTTCTAGCTCTCCTTACTGTATATGCATGCCATAATACAAAACTCCACTTTTATCATAGGAGAGCCAGCCATGAAATTAAGGTTTGAAGTGAACTGAGAATATCACATAATTAGTCTAATTATCCCTTTCATTTGGAGGGGGAGGTCTTGTGAGATGTCCTACTGGAAATATACAATATAACTATCCTTCTGCTGGATTCTTTGTTCAACTGGGTAGGTTCAATATTAAGTATGAATAGTACATACATTGTGCAGGCAATATGAAAAAGGGTGCTACTACAGTTTGTGACCCAACACTTTCAAATCTCAGTCAGAACATATGGAAGAGGATAAATTACTCTCCCATATCTTAGACGACTTTTCCATTGGCCATTCCAGCGTGCATCTGAGCAAATTCATACCCCATCTGCTCCACCAAACCTACTTTCTTCCTCTTCATCTTGCTTTCCCCACCAAGAAACTTGTAGGCTAAATTTTATATCCAAGCACTGACTGGGGTTTGAACAATCAGAAATATTTATTAAAATAATGTAGTTTAATCATGTACCTTATCTGCTATAAATCTGATTGTATCACATACAAAATCATACAAGAGCGATGGCCATCTAAGCAGCTTTAGATGTGTTTACGGAAAATGCAAAAAAAAAAAAAAAACAAGGAGGGGGATTTAGCTTAAGATCCAAGAGAATAGCAAATTTCTCTAAGATTTTAAGGTAAAAGGTGATATTTTTACCGTACCTTACTCATGATCCTCAAAATTAACATATCTTGGGGTAGGGCTAACTATTTTGATAGGCACATTCTCTGTTATCCATTTCCACAATTATAAAAAGCATCAGCAAAATTGTACATGTGTGTTCCAGTCACTCATGGGTCCACAGAAATGGATCATATCTAAATGACTGCTTCCCTTGCATACTATGTTCAGCAAGCGTAAAAAGAGTGTCTCAGTAATGGAGAGGTTTATTGTGACTCCACTTCTTACAGAGATCAAATGATCCCCACTTGGGTCTTTAATATCTGCTTCAATTTCTACATCTTAACTATCCTGACATATTTGGCCAGTGGGTTAGCAGCAATCAGAACAGCATTCTTCAGAGTTCATTCTACTTAATTTTTCTTAACAAAGTCTTCATCTCTTGGAAAATAAACTTAACTGAAGATATTAAAAAGATAGTTTGAGATAAAATGAAAGTCCCAACTTAGCATGGCTATTGAGGACAGGAAAAGTTTCATGAGAAAGGAAAAAGAAATAGAAGACTGTATTTGACTATAAAACTAGAAAGCATCTATTAGTAAATTGTCTAACTTTTTTTAATGGCCACCCAAGTTTTGTTTTAGGTAACACTAGAATTTGCTAAAAATAACTATCAAATCCCTTTTAACTTACATCATATAAATGAAATTTTTGCCAATAGCAAGGTTTTTAGGGGTGGAAGAATAAATTTTGCTTTGATTTTTTTTTTCCATTTGTTAAAAAAACTGCTCATGTAGGTGGCATGGTTCTTCTAAAGGACAGAGATGATGTAGAAGGCTCATGGGTCATCACTGGAGTAGAATGAGGACATACGTTTTCCACTAGTAATAGAAGAAATAAAGTTTTGCCAAACAAATTTTTGCTACAGTATTTGAACTTACTGTTGTGGTTTTCCATATAAAATAAATCTCTGGCAAATTTGTTCCTTTTTGCCTATTTATTGTCAACTTTTTCTGTAAACCCATTGTATAATTCATGTGTTCAATGTCTTTGATGTAATTCATAAGTTCATTGTTTTAAAATGAAGCATGTCTTTTTAACCTGCCTAGGTTTTCATGGAAACTGTAAAAATAGTATTCATCTGTTTTGTGTTGATGCTAAGTAACTGGATCATATGTGTTATATTACATCAAAATAGATGGGCAGCATAGACATTTTATTTTTAAAATATTTAATTGCATTTTTGATATGTCAAAGAATGGTACAGTATATATATGTATACATATACATATATACATGAATGTGTATGTATATATTTATCTGCTATATTGAAAAAGTTCGATATAACTTGAGAGATAGTCATCAAAGCAAATCTTAGATGACTGTTTATGTCATGAGTTAATGCTTCCAGGGTGGACCCAAGCCTCTCCTTAAGTGGACTTCTACTTTCTAAAGGGAAAAGAGTAGGTCAAAAGGTCCTGAGGGCCAAAAGCTTCCATTCTGTTCAACTGCCTTGTCATTTCTATATAATATATTGTCCTGAGACTGAACCTCAGGCATTGTGGCAGGAGGATTCAGACATAACAGAAGTTGGAGTTGATCCTCTGTGATCCCATTTCAGTATCAGGCAGAGCAGATTCACATTCCTTTGCTGCCTTTAGTTTGGCAGTTTAGTTCTTTCTAAATAAATCTTCTATCGTTAAGAGTACAAGACCAATGTTTAATCATAATCACTAAAGATATACTTCAAGGGGCAATGTGGCAAAAATAAAAGGACTATAATTTGCTATATTCAACCTAGTATATGAAACTCAGAGGTACAGGTGGTTGATTGGGTGAAGTTCCCTGTTTTTATCTTTGTGTTTGTGCATTGAGGTCTTTGAACCCATGCTTATATTTCCATCCTTGTGATATCAAAGTTCTGTAGGGTGGGAGTGCTGTAGATAAACAACTTGGAGTCCAACTTTGCCTACAGTCAAGCCTCTACAAACTTACTATAGCGTGGATGATGCAGTTTCCCAAAAGCAGCTCCCCAGCATCCCTTGATAACAGCAGTCACTTATATTTGATGGATAAGTCACAAAATGTGCCTATTTCCCCCCATTAACCATAATAACTTCCCACAATGAGGCAGATCAAAATCCAAACACTTTTCTAAATATGTGATGTAGATATATACACATATACATTCTGTATATAGTATGATGGTTGTGAGCGCTTACTACATGTGTACTTCTGCCCTAGGACGGAGGAACTGGGAAGGGGTTTTCTGATGCTGCTGGGTAACTCGTGTTTTTGTTTAGCATCTGGTATCTGTGCTCTACCCCTGCTTGCCTGTCTCTTCTCTCTTTCCTCTACCTTCTGTCCATTACTACTATTCCCTGGTTTTGACTGAGGCAAAGAACTACTCATTGGTTTTCCAATTACCCAAGCCCATAAACTAGCCTTCTGGTGACGCCAGTGGTTTTTCTGGAAAGAGCAACAGAGTCCAGCACAATCTACAGTATTAATATTAGCCCAAAGGTACATATTTTTATCATCTAAAAATCTCATTCCATAAAGGGATTATGCCTGCTTGAACCTCCATGATACAGTTCTGCGGGGACTCAAGTACAAAGCCCGTGCATGGGAATACGTAATTCCCCAGATGTCTACTGTTTTAATGCAGCCAGGGGGTCAATTTCTCAGAGTTCTCATTCAATCAACTGCTTCAGTTGGGGTTCTTTCTCTCCATCTCATTAGCATGACTCCATATATTGCTTCAGTGCTTGTTTATCAATGGAAGAAAAATATAAATTCACTG